CAGGCCATGCCCAACCCGGCTCTGCAAAGGCAAAAAACATCACAATATGTCATAATACGGCGCGCGATGCGAGAGGGTTTGACACCCGTGATGTAAACCATCTGTTATATATGAACTACACTCTCACATACACATGTAGAAATGCACATAAACATTCATACAGAAAACAAGAAGGCTCTAGCCTTAACAAGCATCAACCTATGCTTGCATGCTCTGTTAATGCAGAGTAAGTCTCGGTCTGCATAATAGTTTTTAATCCCACCAGGTGGCATCTGCAAGGGAAATAAAAACAGGCAAGATGACAATAATTGAAGTCCTATACTGTTAAGTCCGCGATCTACGACCGATCCTACATCCTCTACTTATGACTGGCCGCAAGTCCTCAACTTACGACCAGCTGCAAGTCCTCAACTTACGACTGACAGCCGGCTACTGCCAAGCCACGCCTGATTGGCTAAGGTGTGGCTGGCTGAGCGTGGACTGTTCTACTGTTCCTATTGGCTGCCCTGCTTGACAGCTCCTTTATGAATAACTGCCAAGCAGGGCGAGGGGCTGATTTCCTGTTCCTGGTTGCTGTTTGCCTTGTTAACATTGATAAACCTTTCTGCATTTACCTCAGCTGTCTGGGCCTCTTCCCTGCCCTCTCAGAATTCAATATATACCACTCCATATGCTTTGATATTCAACACATGTATAAAGGAGCAGCAATTATAATGCCTGGCCCACTGTTTTGAATCTCCCATGCACTCTCATAACTACCATATGTGTAATACCACAGTGCAAGAGACAGATTTTTTTAGTTTGGGATTCAACCCTGCACATGAAGTGGTGTAGAAACAGAAGAAATACTTTTAGACATTGTTCATAACAAAAAATATTTTAATATAGAAGCCTTAACGCTAGTATCCAAGCATAAGGGAACATATTCAAGCCTTATTTTGTAGTAAATCATATAGAATTCAATGAATCCTACTCCCTATTTAGGACCTGTTGAGTCAGAATGGGAGCATTTTTTTGCTCTTCATTCATTCATTCAAAACACATAGCTGCCCATCTTTCAGACAACTCTGGGAGGGTCTCAGTAAGATCATATAGATTCTGCAGAGGATCAATTTCAGTATTTTGATTTTGTTCATTAGCTTGGAAAACCTCCATTGATGGGAGGAAGTGTTCCATTGGAAATAGTCATAAATGCAATACTCTCACGGGATTGTTGTGAAAACAGGAATGCTATTATGAAGTAATAAAAGTAGGGTTCTTTTTTTAAAAAAATTGAGTAAATGAATAAATGCACTTAAAATGTGAGTTCTTTTAGCTTGCGATGTGTAGGAAAGAAATGCAGTATTGTTTGGTGCTCAGAGATGAAAAGCCATCTTGCTGTAAGAATTTGGGGACACCAGGAGCAAACTTGATGAAAGAAACAAAAGTGTACGTGTTGCAGGAACAATCCTTAATTTACAGGCCAGGTATAGCAAGAGCTATTTTCTAAACCAGATAAAATTGCCAAATGTAGTATGTGAAAGCAGCCCCAATTTAATCTTGCAAAGTATGCTCATTTGCACTTATCTCTGCTGCGGTGAGTCCTGATGTATCTTTGCAAAGATGTCAGCAAGAATAAAACAGGTTAATAAAACACTTGTGAGAAGAAGACATGGGAAGTGTTAGGTTTTAGCCACAGCTTTGATTGAGTGGGAGGCATGTGAAGTCACCAAGGGAGACTGACTGAATATCAAGGGGAACATAACAAAAAGGTGGGGGCATGAATGGCAGTGGGCAGAGCCAACATAAAAATTATCCAGACTATATAAAACTTGTGGCTGAATTGTTATATTGCTGAAAATAACCAATCCCAAAGCTAATGAGACATGGCAAATAAGATTGTGCCAAGCATTTAAAAGGGCTGCTTCGTAAAACACATTTACATTACATTTACGTGCTGGCCCATTTTCTTGAAGCATTACAGCCACAACATCCTCTGATAGGATTGTAACGGCTTTGATGGCTGCTTCAGCTGCATGAACATGAACCTGAGACCACCAGGGAAGCAACTGTCCATGAACCCATAGGCTTTTGAAGGGCTTACAGTGAATCTTGAAGAGGATTCAGGGAGCTATTTAACCTTCAAGGAAGGGTGCATTGTCCACACTAATATACTATACAGGTAGTCCTTGGCTTATGCATAGTCATTTAGTGAGCATTCAAAATTATGGTGGACCCTCTAAAACAGGCGTCCCCAACTTCCGGTCCATGGACTGGCATCGGTCCACGGCATGCCAGAAACCGGGCCATACAAATAAGTGAAGCCTCATCTGCAGGATGCAAGCAGCATGCAAAACCATGCTCCCTCCGGTCCACAGAAAGAACTCCACGGAACCGGTCCTTGGTGCCCCAAAAGGTTGATGGCCACTGCTCTAAAAGATACTTAAAACAGGGATGAACAGGGATAAACAGGGATGAAACATAAAACAGGGATGACTGCTCCCTTGAAGTCATTTGACTGTATTTTGGGTGCTTGGCAAATAGATATGTCTATTAGCAGCATTCTGTGGTCACATGGCCAGTTGGCCATGATTTATGTCATTTGGCTGAAAACTTCCAATTATATCTCATTTTTGATAAAAATGCTCCATAATAAACAATGGGTTTGCTTAACTAAATCACACCGTTGACTTAACAACTGTGATTCACTTAATGATTGCCACAAAAAAGGTTATGAAATCGAGTCATTCATATGATGACCAGCATCAGGATTATCAGGATTTACGTCTAAAATGGGCAGGCTCCATTAGGGTCATAAGTAGAAGACTACTTGTGTGAAGTGCTCCTTTCAAATGCTTTGTACCGCCTGAATGACACACAACAGAAAAGCTATTTGCCTCCATTTACATTAGTAAAAGGTGCACCAGCTGCCTCTAAAACAAAAAGTATTCTTATAAATTCTCCAAAGTAAAGTACTAGCATAGATAACATAATGGTGGCTAATAACCCGTTGTGACATAATCTATTATAAATTTACCTCACCTTTTATCTGCCAATAATTTAGTGCTTAGACCACACCTTGTGGCAATGAAATCCTGTGAATTATTATAGTTACTAGTATTCATCAATTTCATGAATCTGCTAAATTTTTCCAACTATGATTCCAGAATCCTTTTCTTTTTTTCTTTTCCTTTTTCCTTTTGTGTGGTCTGGGATGTTATTTCTGGGTTTGCTAATTTGATGCCCATTGATCAAAGAAGAAGCATTATCTTTTTGCAGCCAGTTAACAGCAAATATGGTTTGAGAATAGTAAAAATGCTAACTTAACCTTAGCTCGTTACCCCCAGTATACTTTTTAGTGCTGGGTGAGGGGTTTTGCATCCGAGAATTCAGGAGTTTATTATACTTGAAAAAGGGCTATGTGTAGTGTAGAGAGATTTGGCTGTGAACTATTGGCTATTTTGGGCAACATTCTAAGGCAGGCCAAATGAGGAAAAAGTTATAAATGTCTTTTCCTGATGATATTTTGTTTTGATACTTTAAGGCAGGAGCTTGAAGGGGAGAGGTGGGAAAAAGGAACATTTATATTTTTCAGAAACTTCCACAAAGTTGAAAATTCCATTACTTTGTGTTACTCCATTTTACATAAGGCTGCAATCTTACCACATTTATTTCTCAAAATAAGCCTGACTAAGCTCAACTGGAGTATCATTTTAATAATCATGTTTCAGATTTTACTGTGCAAATAACAATTTATCCTAACATTCAAAAAAGTGAAATTTTACAGGTGGCATTGNGTTGTGAATGCCCCAACACTGGAAGTCTTTAAGAAGATGTTGGATAGCCGTTTGTCTGAAATGGTATAGGGTTTCCTGCCTAGGCAGGGGGTTGGACTAGAAGACCTCCAAGGTCCCTTTCAACTCTGCTATTGTATTGTATTATTTGAATTGGAGATCCCCAGAAAGCCCAAGCTGTAAGCTGGAGTGGGATATTGTCCAAGCACCTCAGATGCAAAGTCCTTCCTATTCTTTTGAGCTCAACTCAAGAGAGCCTGCTGAAATAGTGATTTTTTACCTCTGCTAAGGGACTGTGTGGCATATTTCACATGACTGAAAAAAGTATTTATGAACATAGTTGTGTAGAAGTTTTGCTTTGAATTTTGTCCTGGCCTGAATGTTTCTATACAAAGTATTTCTTTCCTGTTAACGATTTTAGCACTTTTCTAATTAGATTAATGTGGACAATTTTTTATAACCTCATGAAAGACAAACACTGGTCTGATTAAAAGAACACGCTTGCCAATCCCTGTTTCTGCAAAATTCTATATTTAGACATCAAATAAGCGGTGTTGTTTAATGTTCTTGCATATGTACAGTGAAAACCAAACAGAAATCCATTTGTTTCATAACTAATCACCTTTTTCTAAGTCAATCTTCTGAGCTGCAAATAAGCTGAACAGCAAAATCTGTTTTGAACATACTGAGATATGAACAGTTCTTTCCTCTTACAGAGTCTTTCTTTCCACAAGTGAATAAACAAACAAATAAACAAAGAATTTCTGCCTTTTATTAGAGTGTCCCATTTCATCAAAAACCTCGCAGCTCTCAGTACTAATTTCAGAACAGGTCAGAATATTAAACCAAGTTGAAGCCACTTTTAATATTCTAATTTTGTTAGCTATAGTTTCCTGATTTGGATGGAATACAAAGAGGGCATTAGATAGATCCTGGTATGAAAATTTGCATGCAAAGGGATGTGAACATTTGAAAGTTTTGTATGCAGATGTTTGGGTTCATAAAGACTTCCATATGGCTGCAAGCCAATGTTTTTTTCATTGTTACTTCAATTCTCTTTTCTCAAAAAGCCCCTTTAATGAGGCATTTAGAAGAAAAAAGTCTTGGAAGGAATGATTTCCTTGGGCTTTCAATGCACACAAAAAAGCTTAGTCCTGATCTACAGCAGGCTTTAGAAGAACATCTCTTCTTTGAACATTAACACGTATTACTTTATCTTCTTTCCAGATATCACAGTAAGTTTGCTGTCCTTGGTGGTCACCGCATGTGGACTTGCTTTGTTTGGGGTATCTCTGTTTGTGTCCTGGAAGCTTTGTTGGGTTCCATGGCGAGAGCGTGGCCTGCTAGGCAACAAAGACAAGCAGGAATCCTTGAACCTCACAGACACAGAGACCAATGACCAAGACTATAGTGAGGAATTCCTGGGACAGCCGACTACCTACCCTGACTCCTCCATGAAAATTAGCCACACTTCTCCAGACATTCCATTGGACGCTAAGGCAGGGACCAAGGAGAACTGCATACACAATGTTCGGATGCATCGACAAATCACAGAACCAACACCTTCTGCTCGGTCAGTACTCTGATATCTGTGTAAGGATAATGAAGGAGGAGAGCGGAAAGGTCAATTCTTACCCTTCTATATCCTTAATGCCAAGGAGAAATATATGTGGGTAGGGTGGCATTCCCTTCCCTATTGTCTTACATTTCTTTTATTTGATGGGAAGCATCAAAGCAGAGATTCTAAGGATGATGATTAGGTACAGGTCAGAAAATGCCTTGCTTTAAAAACTTCAGGATTTGAGTCTATCATTGGAGATAAAGTAAAGAAATAGAAATTTGAGCAAAGAGAAATTAAGTATGGAGGTGATAAAACAAACTATGCTTTTTCTTGGGCTTGAGCAAGATCCTATTCCTAAAAAAAAAGAATCTAGCAAATAGAAAGCCAGTTGTAAAAGACAGAGAAAGAAGGAAGAAAAAATATGTAGCTTTTGCTAGATTAGTCAAAGACAAAGTTGGAAAACTAGAACCAAATGTGTTTTTATAAAAAGAAAATCCATTTTTCCATACAGAATTGGGCATTGAAAAGATCTAATGAAACTTGTCCATAAATTGTTTGGTTTGTTATATATATAGATTCAAACTTAATCAAAAAATGTTGTCAACACTTTGACTCCTGAATCTCTTCTATAGGGTCAGTGGCATCCACATGAATTTGCTGCTTTCGTTTTTGACCTAAGCAGGATTATAATGTTGCAGCCCAAGGATAAAAGCGTGGCACTTATACCACAATACTCTTGGCTTCCACTTGGCTCACCCTGCACATGCCTAGTCTATTGGTGTTAAGATTCTTCATCATTTTAAAAACCCCATTCATGGAGGGTATTCTGGGGAGTTCTGAATAATGATTTATCAGACAAATATTGTCCGAAATATTTCACTTTTGGGGAAAATTAACTTAGAATTGAATCTCTAGTTAGAAAAGAATAAAATAAGCTTCTAATTCGGAGTCTCCTTTCTTTCTCCCTATGCACTGTTGCTGTATTTGGTGTTATAGACACAACCATCTTTTTTTTTTTAAAAAAAAAAGAAGAATTTGAATTGAAAATTAGATTCATAGAACTGAAAAGGCAGAAAGAAAATTAGAAAAACACAAGCAAAAATGTTCTAATTTTTCAGATGGGATTGAAAACCATTACCAAAATCAATCTGCAATCATTTTTTCCTCAAAAGTATGTGCAATGTGACCAGATGTGTAGCATAACAATAGCATTTTAGGTTCATATACCACTCCATAGTATTTTACAGTGCTCTCTGGACAGTTTATAATGCAAGCATTATTTGCATATTTCCCCCAACAATCTGGGTCCTCATTTTACTGACCTCAGAAGGATGGAAGGCTGAGTCAACCTTGAGCACCATCAGGATCAAACTCCAGACTGTGGGTAGAGTTTCCCTGCAATACTGCACTTTAACCACTGTGCCACCAGGGCTCATGTTTATGGGGCTGCACCTTCCCCCTCAAAATGGGCCAAGCAAATTAAATAGGCAAATTAAATAAATATTTTGGACTAATGATTTATCCTTCCACAAGATTGCTTATGAAATATATTGTTCCTTTTATAAAATTAGTTGAGCCTGTATCTGTATACATTCAAGTAAACCAGGTCAGTCATACTGGTGGCCCGCAGGCCGGGTATGGTGCATGCAGGCCATGCCCAACCCGGCTCTGCAAAGGCAAAAAACATCACAATATGTCATAATACGGCGCGCGATGCGAGAGGGTTTGACACCCGTGATGTAAACCATCTGTTATATATGAACTACACTCTCACATACACATGTAGAAATGCACATAAACATTCATACAGAAAACAAGAAGGCTCTAGCCTTAACAAGCATCAACCTATGCTTGCATGCTCTGTTAATGCAGAGTAAGTCTCGGTCTGCATAATAGTTTTTAATCCCACCAGGTGGCATCTGCAAGGGAAATAAAAACAGGCAAGATGACAATAATTGAAGTCCTATACTGTTAAGTCCGCGATCTACGACCGATCCTACATCCTCTACTTATGACTGGCCGCAAGTCCTCAACTTACGACCAGCTGCAAGTCCTCAACTTACGACTGACAGCCGGCTACTGCCAAGCCACGCCTGATTGGCTAAGGTGTGGCTGGCTGAGCGTGGACTGTTCTACTGTTCCTATTGGCTGCCCTGCTTGACAGCTCCTTTATGAATAACTGCCAAGCAGGGCGAGGGGCTGATTTCCTGTTCCTGGTTGCTGTTTGCCTTGTTAACATTGATAAACCTTTCTGCATTTACCTCAGCTGTCTGGGCCTCTTCCCTGCCCTCTCAGAATTCAATATATACCACTCCATATGCTTTGATATTCAACACATGTATAAAGGAGCAGCAATTATAATGCCTGGCCCACTGTTTTGAATCTCCCATGCACTCTCATAACTACCATATGTGTAATACCACAGTGCAAGAGACAGATTTTTTTAGTTTGGGATTCAACCCTGCACATGAAGTGGTGTAGAAACAGAAGAAATACTTTTAGACATTGTTCATAACAAAAAATATTTTAATATAGAAGCCTTAACGCTAGTATCCAAGCATAAGGGAACATATTCAAGCCTTATTTTGTAGTAAATCATATAGAATTCAATGAATCCTACTCCCTATTTAGGACCTGTTGAGTCAGAATGGGAGCATTTTTTTGCTCTTCATTCATTCATTCAAAACACATAGCTGCCCATCTTTCAGACAACTCTGGGAGGGTCTCAGTAAGATCATATAGATTCTGCAGAGGATCAATTTCAGTATTTTGATTTTGTTCATTAGCTTGGAAAACCTCCATTGATGGGAGGAAGTGTTCCATTGGAAATAGTCATAAATGCAATACTCTCACGGGATTGTTGTGAAAACAGGAATGCTATTATGAAGTAATAAAAGTAGGGTTCTTTTTTNAAAAAATCCAATGAGCGCATTGTTTTCCCTATAGTGGGCATGCTATCCCCACAATAACTCTCTAGCCCAGTGCTTCTCAACCTTAGGAACTTTAAGATTGTCAACTTCAACTCCCAGAATTCCTGGGAGTTGAAGTCCACATATCTTAAAGTCCCTAAGGTTGAGCAATACTGCTCCAGCCACTCTTGCCTTAATACAAAGAAAAGAAGTTTTAAAAAAGGAAGTCAAAATTTCTAAAAACGTATATGTATAAGCTCCAAATGCAGTTTCAAGGTAGCAACCCAGTTTTGTAGTAAACATCACTGGATATGATAATGCCCATTTTAAGGACATGTTAAGTTGGTGTATGGGATGCAATACAGAGGTGAAATCCAGCAGGTTCTGACAGGTTGTGGAGAACTGGTAGGGGAAATTTTGAGTAGTTTGGAGCACCGGCAAATGCCACCACTGGCTGGCCCCAGAGTGGGGTGGGAATGGAGATTTTGCAGTATCCTTCCCCTGCCATGCCCACAAAGCCACGCCCACAGAACCTGTAGTAAAAAAAAATGAATTTCACCACTGATGCAGTACAGATATTTTTATCTATATAATTAGTGTGAAGGCCCAATTCCAGATTAGAATTTCCATGCAAAATGGCTAGAGGAAGCTTAAAGCTTCCTTTCATCTAATTAGCTTTAGAATCTCACCTTCTTTCCCAACAAAAAATGATAGGAAAACAACCTCTTTTTAAAAGATACTGTCCACAGTGGAAGTTCAGGGTTGATTTTCCACCCTCCCTTTTATTTTTATTTGAATGCGGGGGTGTAGACACTTCTGAAATACATCAGAAAGGAGACATCACGCCTTTATAATCAGTGTTCAAAAACAGCCTATCTCTATTTATTACTCATGTAAACATAGGCAAAAATAAAGGTTTTATGATTCTGGCTTATACCAATAAAGCATCCTTTAGTATGTTCAGATGCGTGACCCGTCAAAACCGCGCTCAACTAAGCCGCGCCCGATTAAACCGCGTCGCTGATGTCATCAACAGNCCACAAAGTTGAAAATTCCATTACTTTGTGTTACTCCATTTTACATAAGGCTGCAATCTTACCACATTTATTTCTCAAAATAAGCCTCACTAAGCTCAACTGGAGTATCATTTTAATAATCATGTTTCAGATTTTACTGTGCAAATAACAATTTATCCTAACATTCAAAAAAGTGAAATTTTACAGGTGGCATTGCATCAGCTAGAGAAAAAAAGGGATGTTGCAGTGAACCTTTCCTGTGATGTTCCTGTGCTTTTGTTGTTTAATTCCCTGTAATGGGGTTGAAGCACAATAATACCTACTAGAAAGCAAAAACAGTTTTGTGCGCATTATGAGACATTATTCATATCCCTGTTTCTTTTTCTGAAATGTTGGCAGATATGATTTATTTATGACTGCTTTCTTTTGTTTATCTTGTTGTCTTTGACTTCTAGCAAACTTTACAACTGGATTGCCTCTCCTCCACTTGCTGGAAAGATGACTGGTACAGGGAAAACTGAACAAAAGAACATTTCTTTGCTATTTTTCAGCATTTTTAAAAATTATTATTTATGGTGTTCTACCCTGAGATTCTTTAATAGAACACTGGGGGGATATTCTGAAATTTATGTTAGAAAGCACAAGATATTCCGTGTTCTATAATGTTGGTCAATGAATTAATATAGTTCCTGCTGGGATTCTCATTCAAACATCAGACATTCCAGGTGCAATTTGTAGATGAGTTTACCTGCAAATGCTGTTTGCAGAATTTTTACTCTTCAGTTGGCAATAGTGTGAGTCTCATTCAAATGTACAAGGATTCTCTGCCAATAACAGCGCACAACAAGTATATAAATTGGAACCATCAGGAATGTTCCCAACTTATTTTTAAAATTATTATTTTCCTCCTTTGTAAGATACATTTGTGCTATAATTTCTTACATTACTGAAAGTACGGTAAAGGTCAGAGGCAGTGGCACTCCTAGCATATTTGATACATGAAGCAAATCATTTTTAAACCGCCCTTCAGTGGCGATAGTCAGTTTGGTGTAGTGGTTAAAGCATCAGATTAGAAATTAGGAGACTGTGAACTCTAGTCT